AGAAATGTCATCTTGCTTGTGTGCGGTAACCTGAAACTCCGCTATACATCTCTCCACATATTTCAAATGAAGTTAGCACGGTTTACGTCAAGCCATGATGAAACCCGAGATCTCGTGGGGGTGTAAAGTACTGGAATCAAGTAGAAACATTACTGCAAATTTGATTTCATCTGTTCCAGTGTAGATCATCTTGATGTTGTTCCTGTCAATTTGACCAATAGCATATCTGTTTTACCTCGGCTGGTCAAGCCGGAGTCTATTTCCACAGCCCAGTTGTTGTCACGATTGGTCAGGATGACCATCGGTCAGACCTCTAACTACTGCTGTAAATGTTTAGCCTGAAAGTATATTGATGTTTTCTGCCGACTGATGGGGCATGGGGTTCCATGGAGCCGGTGAGTTTGCTGTTCATTTCTTTATAACCGTAAGGTTTTCGAAAGGAGGAAATTCACCTTGTTAGCCCGGTAAACGAAAACCAGAGTAATTGCAGCTCTCACTGGGAACCATTTGCAGATTTCTGTTTACGTGTCATAGAGACTATACACAGCTGGGGCAATGTATTTATCTTCAAGCTAAACGAATTTATTGAGGGGAGGCGAAATGGGGTCTTACGTCGCGTTTTAGAATATATCACTCATATAGTTTGGATATAGTTTTTCGGAGTGAGTGAGTTGGAATTTACTCCGCCTTTACTAACATTCCAGCAGTATCATGGGGTTTGACACCAGAAATGGGCGCCACTCAATGTACCCATGTGGGGATCGAACCCAGATCTTCACTGGGATGAGCGGACGCTTAAACAATCAGGGTACCCCCACCACCCCAGTTGTTCGGATGTAAATGGTTTCATAGTGCTCGCCCTTGACATGTTGAACATGGATACCCCACAGCTTTTTTTCACCCCTTAATGCTGAGCGCCATCTTTTGGTGTGAGTGGTTTTGTGCCTTTTGGCAATGTTACGGCGGGGGACACCAGAAATGGGATTGACACATTGTGTGAATCGAACACGCGTCTTCGGCGTGACGAACTAACGCCTTAACCACTAGGCTACTCCATCGCCCCTATATAATAGAAGCCGGGTTATCGGCGTGACAAGCGAGCACTTACCCCCACCGTCGCCTTTTGATATGACACGGGCATGTCCCATGGGAAGTTTGTGGTCGTGGGTTCGAACCCCGGTTCCTATCGATTATTATTGTTTTTTTGTTTATAGTGGATTTGTCCTGAAAACAAACAGTATTTCTCAGGTGAAACCAAATGGTTCATCCTCAAGTGTGAATATCAACTCTCTAACACAATCCGACATTTCACAAATCAACGCTTATAAAAGTACCATGTAATTTCTGGGGCGGTTGGGTAGCCTAGTGGTTAAAGCGTTCCCCCGTCACGCCGAAGACCCGGGTTCGATTCCCCACATGGGCACAATGCGTGAAGCCCATTTCTAATGTCCCCCGCCGTGATATTGCTGGAATATTTCTAAAAGCGGCGTAAAACAAAAACTCACTCACTCACTCACTCACCATTTAATTTTCAGCCAGAGTGTGACGAAATCAGCACAGCTGTCAATAGTTCTAACGACTGTGAAGATGTTAAATCCAGCAAAAATCTAATCAAAACCGTTTATGCCATATGACTCGAAAAATACTTAAATTTACAACGTTTCGAATGACTATAGGTGAGATGTTTTACATGTCCCACGAAATAGTTCATCCCCCATCCAAGTCTGCAGAGGTTGCTCGTTTCAAGATTTAATATGTACTCAACGGTTTTCTTCCTTCGTCAGACTGAGAAGTGTTGAATATAACGTTGTATGCCCTTCGACAGTGAGTAGGGCACGTGTTGCAATTAATCTGTTTTCGTAAGCTATTTCAAAACTATATCACGGAAATTACGTTCTGCACGCGCAACATGTCAAAAAACTCACGTAATAGGTCCATTCGGTCATTCAACGCTCGCTCATTCTCAAGGACAGCCGCATGAAGACGGATGCGCTCATTCGCCGTGCCCAGCAGGTACGCTTGTGATACTTTTCATATTAGTATTTATTTACACTTGTGAACACATTTAATCATCTTACTCATTCATTTAGATGGAAAGAATGTTTAGTTGAGTGCATGATGCATGGGTCTGGTGCATATCAGTTGAATCTGACAAATTTACATCTTTAAATGCATTAGGAGTATACCCATCCCGTTCCCCATCCTGTCCCACCCCCACCCTGCCCACGTCCCGTCCCTCGCCCCGCTCTTCACCCCCTTCTTCTCCATATTGTACCCCATCTGTACCCCATCCCGTCCCTCACCCCGTCCACCGTCCCTCACACCGCCCCTAACCCCACCCTGTCCCTCGCCCAGTTCCCCACCCCGTTCCCCACCTTTTTCCTCATATTATTGTACCCCAGCTGTACCCCATCCCGTCCCTCACCCTGTCCCTCACCCCCTGTCCCTCACCCCTGTCCCTCACACCACCCCTCACCCCGTCCCTCACACCACCCCTCACCCATTCTGTCCCTCGCCCAGTTCCCCACCTTCTTCCTCATATTGTACCCCAGCTGTACCCCATCCTGTCCTTCACCCCCTGTCCCTCACACCACCCCTCACCCATCCTGTCCCTCACCGTCCCTCACACTGCCCCTTACCCCCACCCTGTCCCTCGCCCAGTTCCCCACCCTGTTCCCCACCTTTTTTCCTCATATTGTACCCCAGCTGTACCCCATCCCGTCCCTAACCCCATCCCTAACCCCATCCTGTCCCTCACCCAGTTCACTCACTCACTCACATTCTCACGTCCCTAACCTAGTTCCTCTGCCTGTACCCCAGCTCGTACACCACCTTGTCCCCCATCCCGCCCTTTACCCTGTCCCCATCTTGTCCTTGTCCCCCCCCCTTGTCCTATTGAGGTTTTAGTAATATATTTGTTCTGTTTGATATCTGGTGGAATTATTCTTATTGAAGTTCAATGTGCATTATTCACCAAGTATTATCAAAGTTTAATTATCTGCATTATTCACCAGGTCTTATGGAAGTTTAATGTAAATTATTTACCAAACCTATTGAAGATCTTATATAAAAATTCATCCGAAAGTCTTAATTAAGTCGAATATGCACTATTCGTCAAGACGATCAAAGGCTATTGCACATTATTCACCAAGTCGTATTGTGGACTGCAACAAATTATTCATAAAGTCCCGGGGAAATCTAGTGTTGTACAGTATGTACCATGTCTAACCTAAAGTATTCACCAAGTCATATTGAAGTCGGATCATTGAAGTCGAATTCACATTATTCTTCAAGTCTTTAATGTACACTGTTCACCTAGTATTGAAGCCTGATGTACACTGTTCACCTAGTATTGAAGCCTAATGTCCTCAATTCGCCTAGTTTTGAAGTCTAATGTACACTATTCACCTAGTACTGAAGCCTAATGTCAACAATTCACCTAGTATTGAAGTCTAATGTACACAATTCACCTAGTATTGAAGACTAATGTACACTGTTCACCTAGTATTGAAGTCTAATGTACACAATTCACCTAGTATTGAAGTCTAATGTACACAATTCACCTAGTATTGAAGTCTAATGTACACTGTTCACCTAGTATTGAAGTCTAATATACACAATTCACCTAGTATTGAAGTCTAATGTACACTATTCACCTAGTATTGAAGTCTAATGTACACAATTCACCTAGTATTGAAGTCTAATGTACACAATTCACCTAGTATTGAAGTCTAATGTACACTATTCACCTAGTATTGAAGTCTAATGTACACTGTTCACCTAGTATTGAAGTCTAATGTACACATTCACCTTCACCTAGTATTGAAGTCTAATGTACACTATTCACCTAGTATTGAAGTCTAATGTACACTATTCACCTAGTATTGAAGTCTAATGTACACAATTCACCTAGTATTGAAGTCTAATGTACACAATTCACCTAGTATTGAAGTCTAATGTACACTATTCACCTAGTATTGAAGTCTAATGTACACAATTCACCTAGTATTGAAGTCTAATGTACACTATTCACCTAGTATTGAAGTCTAATGTACACTATTTACCTAGTATTGAAGTTTAATGTACACTATTCACCTAGTATTGAAGTCTAATGTACACAATTCACATAGTATTGAAGTCTAATGTCCACTCCTCACCTAATATTGAAGTGTAATGTACACAATTCGCCTAGTATTGAAGCCTAATGTACACTGTTCACCTAGTATTGAAGTCTAATGAGCACACTTCACCTAGTATTGAAGTCTAATGTACACAATCCTCATAGTATTGAAGTCTAATGTACACTATTCACCTAGTATTGAAGCCTAATTTGCACTATTCGCACTATTCACCTAGTATTGAAGCCTAATGTCCTCAATTCGCTTAGTATTGAAGTCTGATATACACAATTCACCTAGTATTGAAGTCTAATGTACACTATTCACCTAGCATTGAACCTAATTGATACTGTTCGCCTACTTACTTTCGTTGTGTGTGATAAGTGCAGTCTATTCGGCGGGGATAAAATTCTATCACATAGATCTGATGATGTTTATTATCATTATTGGTCTCATGTTGATGCATCTGAAGATAATGTCATTCAATTGCAAGCATATTTTTGTTCATTTTGTTAGGGTATTTTGTATGTGGGGGTAGAGGTTTGAGTGTGGATGTTGGTTTAGGTGTGGTGTTATGTGGGTTTAGGCGTGGGTTTGAGTTCGGGTATGGATGTGGGGGAAGGGTGTGTTTGTAGATGTGGATGTGGGTTTAGATGTGGGTGTGGGTTTAGATGTGGTTGTGGGTTTAGGTGTGGATGTAGATGTGGGTTTAGATGTGGATGTGAATGTGGGTGTGGATGTAGTTTTAGCTGTGGATGTGGATTAAGATTTTGATGTGGATGTGGTTTTAGCTGCGGATGTGGATTCAGATGTGGATGTGGTTTTAGCTGCGGATGTGGATTCAGATGTGGATGTGGTTTAGCTGCGGATGTGGATTCCGATATGGATGTGGTATTAGCTGTGGATGTGGATTCAGATTTTGATGTGGATGTGGTTTTAGCTGCGGATGTGGATTTAGATGTGGATGTGGTTTTAGCTGCGGATGTGGATTCAGATGTGGATGTGGTTTTAGCTGCGGATGTGGATTCAGATGTGGTTGTGGTTTTAGCTTCGGATGTGGATGTGGTTTTAGCTGCGGATGTGGATTCAGATGTGGATGTGGTTTTAGCTGCGGATGTGGATTCAGATTTAGATGTGGATGTGGTTTTAGCTGCGGATGTGGATTCAGATGTGGATGTGGTTTTAGCTGCGGATGTGGATTCAGATTTTGATGTGGATGTGGTTTTAGCTGCGGATGTGGATTTAGATGTGGATGTGGTTTTAGCTGCGGATGTGGATTCAGATGTGGATGTGGTTTTAGCTGCGGATGTGGATTCAGATGTGGTTGTGGTTTTAGCTGCGGATGTGGATGTGGTTTTAGCTGCGGATGTGGATGTGGTTTTAGCTGTGGATGTGGATTCAGATTTTGATGTTGTTTTAGCCGTGGATGTGGATTCAGATTTTGATGTTGTTTTAGCCGTGGATGTGGATTCAGATGTGGATGCGGATTTAAGTGTGGGTGTGGGTGTGGATGTAAATGTTGGTTTAGATGTTGATGTTGGTTTAGATGTTGATGTTGGTTTAGATGTAGATGTTTAAGTTTTGGTTTAGTTTTGCACTTGGAGTCAAGTGAAGTAGCACCGGTAACAGTAACATGTATGTACGTGTAAGATAAGATATGTATACACTCACAGATTTCCATAATATCACGACACCATGCATATGTGAAATATGTTGAATTATCCCTTTATCATTAAAAACTAATTCGCGACAAAGAGGTAAACTGACGTGAATTAAGGTTTTACGTCGCATCTTCAATATTTCAGCCAAATAGCGACCGATGAGGTGAGGTGAGTTATTAAAGATGGGTGAGTCAGTTTAGTTTTACGCCGCACTCAGCAATATTCCAGCTGTATGGCGGCGGTCTGTTAATAATCCATTCTGGACCAGACAATCCAGTGATCAACAGCATGAACAACGATCTGTGCAATTGGGATACGATGACATTTGTCAAGTAAGTGAATAAACCTGACCACCCGATCCTATTAGTCGCCTTTTACGACAAGCATGGGTTACTGAAGATTATTTCTAATCCGGATCTTCACGGGTTAATTATTTCAGATGAGTGGGTAAGCTGGGTTTAACGCCATTTGACCAGTACTTCCTTTACATCATTGAGTGTCAACGTGATGTTGGAGGAAAGCAGACAGTGATTGAGGTGTTAGACGTTAGCAACTTTAATGACACCAGCAAGTTTGGCGCTGACAAATTTCGAATCAAAATAGGGGAAACACAAGGATTCGAACCCAGGATAACACGTACGTTACCTCGTACAGAGCATCACACGACCGGGCCACCCATGACTATGTTGAGTTCAAGGTGGTTTGTCCTTTCAGGGGCTCCTTTCACGAAGCAACCTTTACTAAGGTTAACCTTAACTCCTATTCTTTAACATTGCACTAAGGATACCTTAGTCACTTACGATCACCTTAGTGTTTTGTGAAAGGAGGCCCTGGTTGGTTGATTTTATTCCTAAGGCTTGGTTCGTCGCTCGTGTTATCAACCCTTGGTTTGCCTGACCCGGCGTGGTGGGACGCAGTTGGAACATTGCGATATATGAGCACAACTCACTCACTCATTCATGTAATATGAGCAACACCTTACGTTTGAAACTTCGAGACAACAGGCAGATTCCACTAATATCAAATCAAAATCAACCCGTGGAGATCCGGGTTAGAATTGGTCTTCAGTAACCCATGCTTGTTTTAAGAGACGTCTCGCTGGATGAGGTGGTCAGACTCGCTGACTTGGTTGACACATGACATCGTATCCCAACTGCGTAGATCGACACTCATGATGTCAATCACTGGATTATCTGGTCCAGCTTCGATTATGTACAGACCGCCGTCGTATAGCTGGAATATTGCTGAATGCGGCGTGAAAAAACAAACAAACCACATCAAAAATCGAAACAATCACTATTTCGAGACGACAATATGCGACACAACAAAGAGCGATACCATTTTACTGATGTCCAAAATGATACCAATTCATAACACAAGCTCCTGGCTAAAAGCCAGCAATCAGTATGTGTAGCCGTGAGACATGGAAATATAGTCGAAGTAATGTAACATACAGTTCCATATCTACTACTGTAAACATGTTTAAATCAGATAAGCAAATCACTGTTTCTACCACCAGACCGTCACTGATGGCGTCTGGATCCTTTACTTCAAGAAATTAATAATTAAACAAACACAGCATTCTCTTCCAAAATCCATGCGGATAATGTCCAATAATGCGAACCACTAATATACATTCTCCCGTAGCGTGTTGTTTGTGGCGGACGGAAATGATATAATCTATTTGACAGCTTTTGTCCATGTCACGTTTCCATGGCAACGGTAGTGTTCAATAAAGTTCCCTAGATAAGCTAATAGATACTGGTACATTATCCTGAGTTTGAAAGCTGCGGACATCATTGTTTCTTGTAGAATTTGCCGTGCACCGACGAAATTACAAAATCAATCTTGCTTAGTTCTCTGATGCGAATAAAGGCATGATGGTAATGTATGTGTATGTAGGTAATGATCGAAATGTCAGGTAGTATAGCTTCAGCGGTAACTGGAATCTGTCTGTTTACTTCGAAATAGTGAACCAGTGTTGCCCAAACAACAAAATAAAAAACATGAGTAGATTTATGATATATATAATGTTTGTTTTGATGATGTCTCGAGGGATTGGCAGATTATTTCATTCGTGTGAGTTACACTACTTGAATTATTTATTCTATTGAGATAGATCCTGGAGTGGATGTCTGGCAGCCTGGGTTTTATTTCACGACAAACACTTTCAAGGCTATCATGTAATTTGTAGCCATGGTATCTCTATAATTAAAAGCCAGGAAAATACCGCGGTACTGTACACGAATCCACGCACGCGAGTGAGTGAGTGAGTGAGTGAGTGAGTTTTACGCCGCTGTCAGCAATATTCCAGCAATAGTACAGCGGGCCCACCCACTCGAGTTAGTTTGGGCAACTCTTTAAAATTCACCAACTGTCAGCTTTTGACTCAAATGAAAAAACAACCGTGTCATCAGGGGATGAGTTAAAAAGACATTCAATAACACGCCTCTTTATATAGCTTTATGTAAACATGCATCAAATTAAGCTGACAGGCTCAATCAATCAATTCCCTCTTTGAAACAATTTTTCGCTTAGTTGGATTAAGTCAGAGAGGTCGTATCATCTGTTTCAGCTTCAGATGGATGCGTAAAGATTTGGTGTGACAGAAAATATCCACAAGACTCGATGACAAGAGTGAGGATTTCATTTTCCCAAAAGTCAACTTTTCCGTTATGTCATGCAATGTTCCACATTTTGCTGCGTTTGAGTGAGTGAGTTTAGTTTTACGCCACACTCAGCAGTGTTCTAGCTATATGGCGACGGTCTGTAAATAATCGAGTCTGGACCAGTCAAATCCAGTGATCAACAGCATGAGCATCGATCTGCGCAATTAGGATACGATGACGTGTCAACCAAGTCAGCTAGTCTGACCACCCGCGCCCGTTAGTCGCCTCTTAGACAAGCATGGGTTACTGAAGATCAATCCTAACCCGGATCTTCACAGGTAGATCTTTCTATGACTCGAGGCATGGGACATATATCATAGACCTGTTCTTTGTGAAGATTTCAAAGATTTCTTTGTGAAATTCGGTCTGTTAGCTTCCTGTTTAATGAAAGTGTTGTCTGAGCCGTTTACCACGAAAGTGAACCCTCCTACCAAACCAATAATAATAAACAGAAAGGTAGCTGGATTCGAACCCACGATCGTATATCCTGAGAAGCTGACATGTTTTCCTAAAATGTTATTACCCGTGAAGATTAGGGTTAAAATTGGTCACAGCCTTTACAATGGCACAAACATACCAACATGGAACACAACCTTTACAATGGCACAAGCATACCAACATGGAACACAGCCTTCACAATGGCACAAACATACCAACATGGAACACAGCCTTTACAATGACACAAACATACCAACATGGAACACAACCTTTACAATGACACAAACATACCAACATGGAACACAACCTTTACAATGGCACATGTCAACATGGAACACAGCCTTCACAATGGCACAAACATACCAACATGGAACACAGCCTTTACAATGGCACAAACATACCAACATGGAACACAGCCTTTACAATGGCACAAACATACCAACATGGAACACAACCTTTACAATGGCACAAGCATACCAACATGGAACACAGCCTTCACAATGGCACAAACATACCAACATGGAACACAGCCTTTACAATGACACAAACATACCAACATGGAACACAACCTTTACAATGGCACAAACATACCAACATGGAACACAACCTTTACAATGACACAAACATACCAACATGGAACACAGCCTTTACAATGACACAAACATACCAACATGGAACACAGCCTTCACAATGGCACAAACATACCAACATGGAACACAGCCTTTACAATGACACAAACATACCAACATGGAACACAGCCTTTACAATGGCACATGTCAACATGGAACACAACCTTCACAGTGGCACAAACATACCAACATGGAACACTTTCTTGTTGACATAAACATGGAGCACAGCCTTTACAATGACAAATAAGCCAACATCCAATACCACCTACCTAATACTTGTGGACATACACATGTCAACATGGAACACAACCTGCGTATTGAAGTAAACTTGCTTACATTGAATACCATCCCTCCTATTGACATAAGCAAAGTCTTCATGTGGTACAACCTCTCCCTCTGATAAAACCATTCCAACATGTGATACAAACCATCCTGCCTACCAGACGATGCCAATATTTAACACCACACCTTATTTTGGCACGTCCACCAACCTTTGTACAGAAATTCACACACGTCAAGCCTTAAGGTTGTCTAATTTGCTTTTATCCATTCTTAGATATAATTATTGAGTGCGTTTCCAATGGGCAACGCTTTTAATCAATAGCAGTACATGTACCTGTAATTTGGACGACGGTTTCGACAATAGGCAGGTTATATTTAGAACAATTACACGATTTAATCGGCCTTGAGCGCCTGGTTTTGCGTCAGCGATGACCACGTGACCCTCTTTCGCCGACGTAACCTGGACAATATACACTGTCGTTTATCTGTTGCCAAAGTGAGTGGTTCAGGTGGAGTGGTGTTGGCAAGCGGAATGAGGTGTGACTGCTCCCTCAAAGAAATCGGCTTGATTAGACACGAATTATACTTCTAAAGTACTTTTACAGAGTTCATTGCTATGGGTTCGTACTTGAAGCCTAATGGATTTTGTATGACAGGTTTAACGAACCCAATAACTTCGTCAGTGATGATTGTACATGTTGGTCCAGAATTTCTTGGTCATTCTGGACAACTCGTGACAACATGCCTCTAGGTCCTGAAACAAAGAAGACTACATCGAACAATATTATTTCAACTGTACAATGATTTAGCACTTCTTGCTCTTTCCCATGTAATTATTGAACATCGTATGCTGAGGTTATTTTGGAACGGAACGCATTTGTTTGGTTTACAAAGTGACA